GGACCAGGTATTGTTAAGTTCCTATGCTACATGCAAAACCTGAAATTTCTGCAGCTGTTAAGACAATACTCGAACTGCCCAGTAAATATTCCCCCTGACCGCCTGGTTGTTTAATAACTTAGGGCCCTGTGTGGCCTTGCACGTAGGCATCGCAGGGCCTGGACCAATCAGTTTGAATGTGTACCCCGCTTTAGAACTGACCTATCACCCCCGCCCAACCTGTTCCCGCCAATGAATGAACTAATCATGTTTAGGAGTTGTTGTTTGATTTTCCCGCGGTGTATGATGATTTATTAAAGGAGACTGTGATGTATGTAAAGTCCCCGCCCTCCCCAAGAAGTGTACTTAAGCAGTGCTCAGCCCCTGCTCTGGGCTCTGGGCTACTCTCCCTTCTTGAGTGGGCACGGAGCCCCAGCATGCTGGATCAATAAATCCCCTTCTGCCAATTGCATGAGTGGTCTCTTGGTGGTCTCTCCCTCCGACGCTTCGCCGGTCCCTTACATATATAATCACTGGGGCAGAGATTGTGGCTCAGTGGCAGAGAGCTCACCTCGCATGTGTGAAGCCCTGGATTCAATCCTCAGTACCACATAAAAATAAATAAATTAAATAAAGGTGTCATGTTCAACTATAACTAAAATAAACAATAACTAAATATTTTTTTAAAATATAATCACTGTCTTGAATGAGACATTTTAAATATTTCTGTCTTTTGTAGATTCACAGTTTTTTTAATAGTATTCAGCCTATAAATCTAATATAAAATAAGTACTAGTTTCTTCTCTAAAGTAGTGACATAGATCAAACATACATGATTAACTTTTTCTAATTAAATGCAACTATCTTCTACCTTGCATTTTGTAATTGCATCTTATATAGGTTTCTTATATTCTCACTGAGAGTAACTCTGTGGAGATGGTGTTTCTGATATCTTTTCTTTTTTTCTTTTTCTAGGGCTTCTTTCTTACAGCATCCCCAGAGTCAGTATTAAAAGTAGCTCGCCATGCTTCTGAAAACAACAGGATTTTCACTTTGAATTTGTCTGCACCATTTATTAGCCAGTTCTACAAGGAATCATTGATGAAAGTTATGCCTTATGTGGACATACTTTTTGGAAATGAGACGGTGAGTTATTCTCTTTTTAAAAAAAGAGTACCTAGATTTCCTGTTTCTGTACTTGTGTGTATGTTTTAAAATATGCAAAATAAAACCCTAAATTTTGATAAATATCTTTGAGAATTACATAACAAAATTGCCTCAGTATGGACTGCTATAACTCAGTATCTCCTTCAGTATATATTGACTTCTTAGTGAAATATTCATTTTTAACACAGACTAGATTTTTGAGATTTAATTTACATATTGTAAAATTCACCCTTTTTATTGTATATTTGTGAGTTTTTGAAAATGTATACCTGACCTGTCAGTAAAACCACAATCAAAATAAATACTTTCTCACTTCTTTTGATCTCTTCAAGGTCTGAGTCTAATTTAGTTTAATAGATTATGAGTGAAATTGATAGTATCATTTTGCTAAAATTGTTGATGGTGATGAAATGGAATGTCATTTGGCTATTCACAATAGCTAAATGTGGAAACAAATTTTAATAAACACAATTTCATATATACATACAGTGGAATATTGTTCAGCTTTAAAGAAGTGAAATTCTAAATGTGCTATGGCATGAATGAATCTTGAAACATTATGTTAAGTAAGATAAGCTAGACACTTCAGATAAATATTGGCTTTTCCTGTAAGGATTCCACTTTATAGGCTAAGAGTGTAACTGAGTGTTATAGTGCCTGCTTAGCATGCTCACAACCCTGGGTTCAGTCCACAGCAAAAAAAACAAAAACTAATTTCACTTTTTGAGCTGTATATAGGATAGGCAACTTCCAAAAGACATATAGTAGAATAATGGTGAGTTGAGGGCAGGTGTGGGTATTGGGTAATTATTATTTAATAAAACAAAACTTGTGTTTGAGATGATCAAAAAGTTCAGGAAATGGATGGTGGAGACAGTTGCCCAACACTAAATTTTTTTTATTTTTATTTATTTATTTATTTTTTTACCAGGGATTGGACCCAGAGGGGCTTAACTACTGAGCTACATTTCCAGCCCTTATTTAGATGTTTAGTATGTTTGAGAAGACCTGTCGTGATATGGTTTATAGAATAATAAAAGTCAGCTACAGGCAATTAGGTGTATTTGGTATTTTATTGAACCAGTCTCAAAAAGTTCGTTGATGAATAGATTTCTAGTGGTATGCCTTAATGTTTACTCTGAGCTTTTCTCAAGTAAACTACCAGTGATTTGAGTTAAAGCTGTATTTGCATATAATGCAAAGGCAAATAATACAACACCTTAATAAATATCAAGACAGTTGAATGTGAGATTCAGATTTTTTTAAATGTTAATACAGTAGAAATGTCAGTTGAGGTGATAAACATTAATGGGGATAATAAAAATAATACCATATTTGATTATAAAAAGCAAGTAGATTAATACTTGCTCTTTAATACTTAATTATTAATACTTAATTATAAGAGATAATAATAGCTCTTTAAATACATCGTTCATTGTTTTTCTACTTGACTTCTATATTAATTATAAATTATCTTCATTTCTCCAGGAAAAGAGAGACATTTTGGTTCTAAAATTCAATGAAATGTAAAATTTCTCAGTGAAGATAGATAGATAGATAGATAGATGACTTGTTTTATATTTCCTCTTCCTCCCCCCCCCCAAAAAAAAAAGCTCAGATTTACTGAGTTTAGTATTAAATTTTCAAAATGTCAGCACTTAACTAAAATCACACACCCTTGACTCTTACTTTCTAATGGTAAACCTTGCCTTTCTCAGAGGGTTATAAACTAGTAATGATGACTTAAACTTTCCTGATAACACCTTATCTACCAAGACTGTCTTCACAGGCAATAATCAGTGATCATTATGAAGTAAAAAATAAATGAGGATTGGTATTACCATGTGATCCAGCTGTCCCACTCCTTGATATATATTCAATAAATTTAATATCAGCATACTATAGTGATGCCGCCACATCAATGTCTATAACAGCAGAATTCACAATAAGCCAAGCTATGGAGCCAACCAAGGTGCCCTTCAACAGATGAAAAGATAAAGAAAAGATAGTATATATACATAATGGAGTATTACTCTGCCATAAAGAAAAACAATTTTATGGCTTTTGTCATTAAATGGACAGAACTGGAGACTATCATGCTATTGAAATAAACCAGTCCCATAAAGTTAAAGGTCAGATATTTTCTCTGTATTATTGTCTCTCTTATCAGTATTATTCCAACATATTTAACAACCTTTTTAAAATGGATAAATTCCTTGAAAGATACAAAGTACAAAAGCATGCTAAAGAAAAAACTGTTCATATTTGGATGCTAATCCAAAGTTGGGGAGGGGCAGATAAAAAGATAGAAGAAGGATCAGTGAAGTAGGCAAAGTGAAATTAAAGGGAATGAAGGAGGAATGGAATAGGGAAAGTTAAGGAATGAACCTGACCTAACTTTCCTATGTACATGTGTATGAATATACCACAGTGAATTGCAACATCATGTACATCCACAAGACACTAATTTTTTAAAAATCTATACGTAAATAACAGAAAGATTGTAGATAACTTAGCTTTTTGCTGGTGTGCCCAAATTACCTGGCAAGAACAATTAGAGGAGGAAATCTTGATTTTGGAACTTGGTTTCAGAGGTCTTAGTTCATAGAAGACCACCTCCGTTTCTTGGGGCTCAAGATGAGGCAGGACATCGTGGTGGAAAAATGTGGAGGACAGTGGCTCAGGACATGACAATCAGAAAGCAGAGAGAGACTAAGCTCAGCTCACAAAATTTATACCACAAAGACACACCAGGACCCATTTCCTCCAGCCACACCCTACCTAACTTCAGGTACCAGTTAGTTAATCCCTATCAAGAGATTAACACACTGATTGGATTAAGGCTTTTGTAACCTAGTCATTTCACCTCTAAACCTTCTTGCATTGTCTTACACATAAGCTTTTGGAACACACTTAATATCTAAATTGTTTACACAGCATAGGGAAGAGAAGGGGGGGTAGGGAGGAGTGAAGTACTGGGGAACTAAATGAGAACAAATTATATACCATGCTTTTATAATTATGTTCAAAAAATCCTATTAAGTCTAAGTAAAATGAACCAGTTTTAAAAAAGGTAAGAAATTAATGGGGCAAACACAAGGATTGCCCCAGCCAACTGCTTGGAGAGAATTTCCAGGCCATAGCAAAAGGAAAGTAACCCAAGCAGAGCCTAGCAATCTCTTTGAATTAAAGGGATGGAGCTGGAAGTTGAGAGTCTTAAGAAGCTAGTGTTTCTAAGTCGGAGTACCAGAGAAGAAGGTACTACATAGTGAACACAGATTTGTAGGAAGTCCTAACACATCCTCAGCTAAGTAGTAATCATCACATATTTGTTATTAAACTTACGAAAAGAACTATTAGAACAGATCAGAGGGAACAGTCCTCCGACTGCAGATGGCGCCTTTAACTATTGTTAAATTAACTATTGTCAAATTTCATTGGACAAGGTAAATAACCTCATAATTCATAGGGCTTCAGATATAATAATTCAGAAGGACTTTGCCCCATTTGTGAGACAAAATTATCTCTAGTCCAGAAGCTATTCTTTTCCCTCTTATCATTATTATTCCAACATATTTAACAACCTTTTGAAACGGACAAATTCCTTGAAAGACACAAAGTACAAAAGCATGCTAAAGAAAAAAGATTATCTTTGGGAGAAGGGGACTTAACAGAAATTTAGGGGTTTTCTTAATTTGCCATTTTTCTCTTTTTCTGCATTTTTACTGGTGCTTTATAATTATACATAACAATGGGATTTGTTGTTACATATCACTATTTGTGCACAATATAACAATGTAATTTGGTCAGTATCATTTCCCAGTGTCACCTTTCCCTCATTTCTTCCCTCCCCGCTCCCCTACACCAAGTCTTTTTCCTCTGCATTACTGGTCTCCCTTCTATTTTCATGAAATTTTTCCCCTCTTTTTTTTTTTCCTTTTTTCTCTGCAGCTTCCATGTATGAGAGAAAACATCCAACCTTTGACTTTATTGGTTTGACTTATTTTTCTTTACATAATGTTTTTAAGTTCCATCCATTACATAATTTCATTCTTTTTTATGGCTGAATAAACTCCATTGTGTGTGTGTGTGTGTGTGTGTGTATAAACACACACACACACACACACACACACACACACCACATTTTCTTTATCCATTTGTTGATTGACAGACACCTAGGCTAGTCCCATAATTTGATTATTGTGAATTGTGCTGCTGTATACATGGGGATGCATGTATCCAAACCATGGTTGATTTTTTTATTCTTTTTAGTTACACATGACAGTAGAATGTATTTTGACATATCATACATACATGGAGCACAACTTCCCATTTTTGTGATCGTACATGATGTGGAGTTACACTGCTGATGTATTCATATATGAACATAGGAGAGTTATGTCTGAGTCATCTACAATCTTTCCCATTCCCACCTCCCCTCCCTTCTTCCCCACTCCCCCAGGTCTATCTGGTAAATCTCCCCTCCTCTACTCTCCATTGTGAGTCAGCATCTGCATATGAGAGAGAACACTGGGCTTTGGTTTTGGGAGATTGGCTATTTCACTTAGCATGATAGTCTCCAATTCCATCCATTTACTGGCAAATGCCATCATTTCATTCTTCTTTATGGCTGAGTAGTGTTCTATTGTGTACATCCATTTATCCATTCATCTGTTGAAAGACACTTAGGTTGGTTCTATAGTTTAGGTATTGTGAATTGAGCTGCTATAAACAGTGATGTGACTGTTTCACTACAGTATGCTGACTTTAAGTCCTTTGGGTATATGCCAAGGAGTGAGTGGGATAACTGGGTCAAATGTTCGTTCCATTCCATGTTTTCTGAGGAATCTTAAAACTGCTTTCCAGAGTAGTTGCACCAGTTTGCAGTCCCACCAGCAATGTATGAGTGTACCTTTTTCCCCACATCCCCACCAACATTTATTATTACTTGGTTTCTTGATAATTGCCATTCTGACTGG